AATAATAATAATAGATTTCATTATGACATTTTCATATACATGCACACACATATATATGTATATAAAATGTACTTTGATCATATTCATTTCCTCCATTCCCTTTTCTTCTATCACTTCCCCAGTCCCCTTCTTATCCCAATAAGCCCCTTTCTAGCTGGGAGTGGTGGTACAGGCCTGAGTTCCAAGTACATAGGAGGCAGAGACAGGAGGATCACACGTTTGAGGCCAGCCTGGGCAAAGTAGATGAGACCCTGTCTCAAAAAAATACAAAACAAAAGGATTAGGGGCTCAAGTGGCAGAGCACTTGTCCTGCATACATGGGCTCCTAGGTGCTATAAACACCACAAGACCCCCAAATACTTAGTCTCCTTCTACTTCTCTCTCTCTCTCTCTCTCTCTCTCTCTCTCTCTCTCTCTCTCTCGACAGGGTCTCAGTATGTAGTCTAGCATGAACTCGAACTTTTTGACTCTCCTGCCTGAGCCTCGCAAGTGCTGGGATTACAGGCTTGTGTCACACACCCAGCTTCATGTGTTTTCTTTACATCTGGATTCTGCGTCTGACAGAAGCATGCCATTTTTGTCTTTCCATCTGTCTTCATGCAAGGACGTAATTTCATTCCTCTTTATGGGGACAAGTACTCCACTGCGTATAGGTACCACGTTTTCTTTATCCATTCATCTGTTGATGGGCACCTAGACTGATTGCATAGCTTGGCCATGTGAACAGCACTGCAGTAAACACGGGTGTGCAGGTGTCTCTAGTGAATGCTGACTCACATTCCTTCAGATACATGCCCACGAGTGCAAGAGCAGGGCCAGAGGGTAGTTCTAATCCCATGTTTGAGGAGCCTCCATACTGCTTTTCCACATGGCGTGCTAGTTTACATCCCACCAGCCGTGTAGAAGAATTTCTCCCCCACCCCACATCCACGTAGGCGTTTGCTGTTTGTTTTCTTCATGATCGCCATTCTGATTGGGGTGAGGAGTCTCAATGCCGGTTTGATTTGCATCTCCCTGGCAGCTAAACAGGCTCAACATTTTTCATATATTTATTGTCCATTTGTGCTTGTATTGAAAATTGTTCAATTCATTTGCTTATTTATTTTTTACTTTTTCTGAGCTCAGATCCTCGCACTTGCTGGGCAGGCTCTCTGTCACTTGAGCCACACCCCCACCCTTTTGCTTGTTATTTTTCAAATAGGGTCTTGTGTTTATGCCCAGGCTGGCCCGGACCATGATCCTTTTATACTTTCCGCATAGCTGGGATGACAGGTATGTTACCATGCTCACTTTTTATTGGTTGAGATGGGGGTCTCGCTAGCTTTTTGCTCCGGCTGCCTTTGAATGTGATCCTCCCAATCAATGCCTTCCAAGTCGCTAGGATTACAGGTGTGAGCCACTATGTCCGGCTACATTTGTCCATTTACTAATTAGATTCTTTGTTCTTTTGGTGTCTAATTTTTTGAGTCCTTTCTATATTTGGATGAATAGCTGACAAAGACTTTCTCCCGTTCCTAGGGTGTCTCTTCACTGGGTTGTTTGCTTTGCTGTGTGGAAGATTTTTAATTTGATGTAACTCCATTTGTCAATGCTTGTTCTTATTTCCTGAACAATTGGAGTCTTTATTCAGAAGGTTATTGTCTGTGCTTATATCTTCATGTGTTTTCCTCTAGTCATTTTAAAGTTTCATTCCTTTCATTAAGGTCTTTGATCCATTTAGAATTAATTTTCGTACAGGGTGAGAGATAACTTCCGTCTTCTACATGTGAATATCCAGTTTTCCCAACCCCATTTGTTGAAGAAGCTGTTCCCTTTGTTGAAAATCAGATGGCTGTAGCTGTGTGGGTTTATTTCTGGGTCCTCTATTCTATTCCATTGGTCTACATGCCTGTTTTTGTTAGACTATCATGCTATTTTTATTACCGTTACTCTGTAGTATAATTTGAAATCAGGTATTGTGATAACTTCAGCATTAGTTTTTTGGTCAGGATTGCTTTGTATGTTCAGGGTTGTTGGTGCTTCCATCTGAACTTTAGGATTTTTTTTTGTATTTCTGTGAAGAATGTCATTGGGATTTTTATGGGAATTGTATTGAATCTGTAGATCACTTTTGCTAATACAGCCATTTGCAAAGCAATGATTCTGCTGACCCATGAACACAGGAAGACTTTCCATCTTCTAGCATTTTCCTCAATATCTTTCTTCTCTGTTTTATACTCTTTATGTACAGGTCTTTCACCCCTTTGGTTAGCTTTATATCTAGGTATTTTTGAGGCTATTATGAATGGGATTGTTTTCTTGATTTCTTTCTCAGTAAGTTTATTATTGGTCTATAGAAAAGCTACTGATTTTTCTATGTTGATATGATATCCTGCCACTTTTCTGAAAATGTTTATTCAATCTAAGAGTTCTCTGGGCCTTAGGGTCTTTTATTTTTAACAGATCTTACAGTAAGGTCCTTGATCCATTTTGAGTTGATTTATGTGTAGGGTAAGAAGTAAGGATCTGGTTTCAGCCTTCTATATGTGAATATTCATCATCACATCACCTGTGTATAGGGATAACTTCTTCCTTTCACGTTTGTGTTCCTTTTATTTCTTTCTCTTGCCTTATTGATCTGCCTCCTGTAGCCACCCTTAGGCCTCAGGACTTTTTTCCAAAGACTCTGTATTAGCACTTCAATCTCATTGCTCATTAGAGATCTGTTTTAGTTGTTTATATCCTCTTGGTTCAACCAGGCCATACGTGTCTAGAAATTTTGTCATTTCTTCTAGATTTTCTAATTTATTGGGATATAAATTTTCAAAATATCCCCTCATGATACTCTGGATTCTTATGCTATCTGCTGTAATATCCTTCTTTTTGCCTTTATCTCATTAGGTTTTCTCTTTTGGTTAGTTTGTCTAAGGTTTTCAATCTTGTTTATCTTTTCAATGAAACAACTTTCTGTTTCACTGAGCATTTGTATTCTTTTAGCCTCTATTTCATTAATTTCTTTGCTGATCATTTATTATTTTTTTGTAGCTACTAATTTTGGGTTCAGCTTGTTCTTGTTTTTCTAAGACCTTGAGTTGCACTATTAGGCTATTTGTTTCCGTTTTCTCTGATTTTTTAATGTAGGCACTCATAGTTGTAAATTTCCCTCTTAGAACTGCCTTCACTGTATCCCAAAGGTTCTAATAAGTTGTTTTCCCTTGGATTTGACTCTCAGAATTTTTAAACTTCCCACCTATTTCTTTTTTGCGCATATACAGAGGGCTGTGAACTGAGGACCTCATGTTTGCTAGGTAGGCACTCTACCACTTGAGCCATGCCCCCAGCCCTTTTTTGCTTTAGCTATTTTTGGATAGAGTCTCACACTTTTTGCCTGGGCCCACCTCAAACTTTGATCCAGCTTCCTCCTATATGCTGGCATTACAGTGTCAGCTACCATGCCCAGCTTATTTGTTGAGATGAACTCTCACTAACTTTTTGCCCAGTCTGTTCTTGAACCATGATCCTCCCAATCTCTGCCTTCTAATTAACTAGGATTATAGGCATGCACCACCATGTCCAGGCCTCCCCTCATTTCTCCAGTGATCCACTGATCATTCAAAAATGTATTGCTCAATCTCCATGTCTTTGCATAGTTCCTGTAGTTTTTCTTACTATTGGTTTCCAAATTTATTCCATTATGATCTGATAATATACAAGAAATTGATTTAATCTTTTTTAGTTATTTATTTATTTTTTTAGCAGTACTGGGGTTTGAACTCAAGGCCTCACACTTGCTACATAGGCACTCTAGCACTTGAGCCACTCCACCAGCCCTCTTTTTAAAAATTTGTTAAGACTTGCTTTATGTCCTAAAATATAATCTATTTTGAAGAAATTATATTAGCTGCTGAGAAGAATGTCTGTTCTCAGCTGTTAGATGGAATATTCTGTAGATGTCTGTTCAGTCCATTTGATCTATGGTGCTGTTTAACCCTGAAGTGTCTTTGTTGATTTTTGGTTCAATTTTCTAGCTTTTTGAAGTATAGCATTAGGTCAATTGAAATCTTTGTCTTCTTTGAGTAGGTGTTGATTGCCGTAACTTCCTGTCAGGACTGCTTTTGCTGCACCCCATAAGTTTTGATATATTGTGTTTCCATTTTTGTCTCTAGACATTGTCTGTTTTCTCTTTTAATTTACTCTTTGGCTGATTGACTGGTCAGGAACATGTTTCACTTTCCCATATTTGTACATTTCCCAGGATTCCTCTCATTATTAACTTTAAATTTCATGCTATTGTGGTTGGTAAAGGTACTTGATATGACTTCAATCCTTCTAAATTTGTTTGGACTTGTTCTGTAGCCTGACGTATGATCTATCCTGAAGAATCTTCCATGTATATTTGAGAAGGATGTGTAATCTGCTCCTGTTGGATGGAAGGTTCTCAAAATACTTGTTGAATGCATTAATTTAACGTGTAGTTTACATCCAGTGTTCCCATATTGATTTTCTGTTTGGCTCATCTGTTCAATGTTGAAACTGGAATATTGAGTCTCCTACTATTGTGTTATAATCTCCTTTCATATCTATTAATATTTGCTGCATATATTCAGGTGCTCCAATGTTGGGTGCATGCATATTACAACCATCGTAACTTCTTGATGAGTCACCCTCTTATCATTGTATAATGATATTCTTTCTTCGTTTTTGCCATATTTGACTGGAAGTCCATTTTGTGTGATATAAGTACAGCAACTCTTGCTCTTTTGGTTTCTGTCTGCATGGATTGTAGTCTCCCATCCTTTCAGTTTCTGAATGGAAATGACCATGTCAAGAGCATACTTCAGAGCGTTGAAAGTGTAGGTCAGTGCTAGAGCACTTGCCCAGCATATGAAAGGCTTTGGGTTTGATCCACAGACTTGAGATAACCAGAGATAGAGGCAAGAGAGACAGAGAGAGGGACAGAGGAGAGAGAATAAGAGTATTTCACTATTACTTTGTTCATGCAAAAAGAGTTAAATTAAAAACTTGTTTTTTATTTGTAGGATACGGGGACTTTGGCGATGATTTTAACCTGGAGGATGCGCTGAAAGAAACTTCCTCAGTAAAACGTAAGTAATAAATCAAAGCACTTATTAAAAGCAAATGATAGTGATTAATTCATGACACCCACTCAGAATGTTCCCTCAAGAAAAACACTGGGTAGCCTGTATTTCACTTGATCAGATGAAGCATGGTTGTTATAAATTACATCATTTAAAAGAAGATCGGAACATGTAAAGTTGAGAATACCTAACGATGTCCCTAAGAGAGAACTACTCAGGCACTGTGGGGTGTGTTGATCATTTAATGTGTACTGGAGTCCTGAGCGAACGTCTCTGTTGTTACTAGCTTTTTCCAGCTGCCACAACTAAATACTGTAACCCACTGCATGGCTTAAGAGAACAGAATCTTATCCTCTCATCATTCTGAAAGACACAAGTCCTAAGTCAAGGTGTTAGCAGAGCCACACTCCTTCGTAAGACTCCAGGGAAAGACCCTTCCCTGCCTTTCCAAGCTTCTGGTGACCCCAGGTACTCCTTGGCTTGTGGCTACATGAACCCAGTCTCTGCTTCTGTCTTACACGGTGTTTCCCTTTCTGTGTCAATCTGCTCTTATAAGAACCCTTGTTACTGGATTTAAGGCCCACGTGAATAATCCTGGATGATCTCATCTCCAGAGCCTGCACTTAATTACATCTGCAAAACTCCTCTTCCCAAATAAGGAAATATATATGATATATGTAAAATGTGTATTTACACACATATACATGTTTATATATACACATTTGTACCTTATTGTTTTTAACCGCTGCTTAACGCACTACATACGCATCCAGCAAATATCTGAGTGCTGGCTGTGTGTCAGTCACTGTTTTAGACACTGAGGAGGTATAGTCAGGAGGCAATCAGGCACAAACCTGTGCCTCTGGGAGCTAGGATTCCAGTGACGTGGATTTGGCCATAGCAAATAACAACATTTCCTTACTGGAAGACACGTGGTTTGTTTCCTTTTATGTAATTACAAATAAGGCTAACGTGAACATTCTTGTCCATGTCCTTTGTGCCTAAGGGCAGTGAAACCACTAGGCCAGAGGGTATGTGTATCTCATATCTTAATAAATTCTGCCAAATCGTATTCCAAAATGGATGTGCCACACGCACTCCCACTAATTGTATGGTGACTTGTGTGACGCTCTCAGCACAGTACTTAGAACAAGGTGAGAAAAAGCATTAGCTGTTACTCTTCTTCAGCTGACTTGGTTGGAAGGACAGGCCGTTCCTGGGCCTCAGGTGTGAGAGCCAAGCATACCTGAGGAGTACATACCTGCCTAAATTGACTGCCAGACTCAACGCAATGCCTGCGCACATCCCAGCTGGATGTTTGGCAGACATGGGTGAGCTGATTTAAACATTCCTGCAGTGTCTTAGTTCGTTTTCTCATTGCTCTGACAAAATACCAGACATAAGCAGCTTAAAGGGAGGAATTATTTATTTTGCTCGTGTGAGTGTTCAATCCTTGTTTGCTTTGCCCCATGTGGTCAGGTAGAACGTCATGCTGGCAGGACAGGGTGACTGGGGAGGTTCTTCACCTCATGATGGACAGGAAGCAGAGAGAGAGGTGCCTGGGACAAGAAACAGCCCTCAAGGACATGTCCCAGCAACCAACTTCCTTCAACTAGGCTCCGCCTCCTAAAGTTCCCAGAATAGTGCCACTAGCTGAAGAGCAAGTTCAACTCATAAGCCTGTAGGGACATTTCATATACAACCCATAACATGGCAATTCGAGGGACCCGGAATAGCCGAAATCATGTTGAAAAAGAAGCAGTTGAAGGATTCACACCAGTTTCAAATGCACCAGAAACCTACAGTAATCAAGGCAGTGTGGCCTTGGATAAAGATGGACACAGTGATTGCTGAAATAGAATTGAGAGCGTAGAAATGAGCCTAACGTCTATGGTCACTTCATTGTTTTGACAAAGATGCCACGACCATTCAATGGTGAATGGACAGTCTCTTCAACAAATGATGTTGGGACAACTGGATATCCACATACAGAAGAATGAACTTGGACCCTTACCTCATACCACATGAATGAACGCAAAACTCACCGGAGACATAACTGTAAATCTCTTAGAGGCTAGTTTTTGTATGTGGTGTGAGGTAAGAGACTAGGGCACTCTCAGGTCTTTCCTGAGCGTGCACACAGTCCTATGTGTGCAGGTGACCTCTTAGATCGCCAGGAAAATAAATACTCTTAATTTATTAGCCATGTTGGTTTCAATGAAATCACTTAATGTCTCCAAGACAAATAGGACAAAGACAAAACAAAAATCATAAGTATAAACAGACTCTCAAATAATAAAATTTTAAACTTCCCAGCTGGGACATTTTTTTCCAGTGTTGGGAATTGAATCTGGGACCTCATGAATGCTAGACAGGTGCTCTACCGCTGAGCTATACCCTGGCCCTAAGAGGGGATTTCTTTAATATTAGTATCCCTTTCTGAGTCATTCACCAGACCATGTGATCTTCCTCATTAGCACTCATCAGCCAACATGTCTGGGATGCTTAAGACCCCCAGAATGTCACATCTATGTCTGACTGACAGCCTTCAAGATCACAGCATAGTGCACCCTTTCCTCCAAGCTTACATTTCCTGTAACTGAGGTTTCGAAGAGGTGAGCCTACCCAACTCTCCTCATTTGAATCATTTATCCCTAGGAAATTGTTCTCCTTTCTACATTGTGCATCCCTCCTCCCATCTAAAAAAATCTTTCAACTGTATAGGTCAGGGGGTTGCAAAATGACCTGTATCTGTTGGTTACCAATGTTTCCTGGGTACCTGCTCACTGCCAGGCACCGTTCTAGGTGTGGACAAGGTCTCTGCCCTTACAAAGGTATTTTCACCAGGAAAGGACAGCCAGTACACAAAAATAATTTCCAATATTGCTGAGTTGGAGATAATACAACAAAATGATACAGCAAGACCCCAAGGAGGTGGTTCGGGGCAGCTCCTTTAGATAAAGTGGCAAAGGTGTCTCTGAGGAGAAGTGACAAGCAAGGAGCCACTCAAAGGGTGCAGAAAGCACTGTCACAGCCAAGGGATCGAGTGTAAGAGCTCTAAGGTAGAAAAGAGTGGCTCACTGTCGTGCCTGAAAGGCAGCCTGTGTGGCCAGAGTGTGGACAATGTTGGAGAAAAGACAGAGAAGTGGACCTGGGACACACCATATAGGATCTCACAACATGGGGGAAGAACCTTAGGAGATTTTTAAACAGTTTTATTGGGACATAAGTCACACGCCATGTAATTTGCCCATTTCAAATGTGCAGTCCAGTGGCATCTTGTGTACCCACACAGTTGTGCAGCCATTGCTACAGTCGGTCTTAGAGCATTTCATTACTTAAAAAAGAAACCCCAAACCCTTGTCTTAGTCCCTTGTCTGTTGCTAGAACTAAATACCACTGACTGGGTAATTCATAAAGAATAGAGTTTTATTTTAGCTCATGGTTCTAGAGCCTGGGTAGTCTGAGAACATGGCACTGGCACATGAAGGCCTCTCACTGCATGGGAACATGATGGAGGGTGTCCCATGGCAGGGCAGAGGAAGTGAGCCAAAGAGATCTGCTTTCATAACCGTGCCACTCCTGGGATGACCCCTGAACCGGTCATCCCTCTGATGGATTGATCACCTCACAAAGATCTTACACTGCTGCACGGGGGACCGAGTTCCCAAAACATGAGCATTTGGTGGGCACGTCAAACCATAGCTGTCGCCACCAATCCCCCAATTCTTCCTGCTCCCACCCTTCACCCTTCAGCAACCACCAATGTCTGTGTGCCATGGATTTCATTATTCTGGATATTAGTAGAATCCTTCCATGGACTTTATACCTGGCTTCGCTCACTTAGCGCAGTGTTTCCAAGGTTTGTCTAAGCTGCTTTCAGAATTCTCCCTGCCTCCACCCACCCCCCTGCTCATTGGCTGTTGTGGGAGAACAGACTTCTACTTTCGTGAAATAAAACTTTTTATGAGCTAGGCACGGTCCCATCTACTTAAGCGGCTGGGGTGGGAGGATCACTCGAGCCCCCAAGTTTGAGACTCGCCTGGGCAACGTAGCAAGGCCCCAACTCAACTAAACAAACAAAAAACCACCACCACCACAAAAACATTCTTCTGGATGTCTTCATTTCCTGGGAAGGCCATAGCTACTGTTCGGTCTGTTTGGCTGCGGTAACAATGCTCACAGTTCTGAAGATGGGAAGTACAAGTTCAGGTTGCCAGTAGATTCAGTGTATGGTGAGGATTTCTCTACTTCATAGATGACACCTTCTACCCCTGTCCTCACGTGGGGGAGGGGCAAAAGGCTGCTTCAGGCTTCCTTTGTAAGATCACTGATGCCATTCACGAGGGCAGACCCTGTACCTAATCACTTCCCAAGGCCCCACCTCTTAAGACTGTCACCGTGGGGGCTAGGTTTCAACACAGGAACTGGGGGAGGCACCCACATTCAGGCCATAGCAGACACCAGCATTGAACACAGCAGGGGAACCTGGGAGTGTCCGTAACCTTGGCACAGCAGCACGATGCAGGGAAACACTGCTGACCGGAGCACCTACTGCCAGAAGCCAAGAATCTGTCCACTTGAGAAAGGCCTCACAGAGCCTGGCTTCTTTCATTTAGGAGTCTCACTCCTTTGAAGAGGTGACTGCTACTCTTAGTCCTTGCATCTCAATTATAGATGATAAGAAGTTCCATTCAAAGATTCATGTCAAGAAGATCTGTAGTTAATAGTTTGTAAAAAAAAAAAAAAAAGACAAAACCAAAAGAAAAGTACCTAATTCCAAGCTCCTGTTCCACTGCTTGCTGCAGGCTCAGACTGTGACTGGGCAGCTGGTTCTGTGCACGTGTAAGGACTGCCCGCTCTTGAAGTAGCACCTGCAGATCTTCATAGAAAGCAGACTTTTCCAGAAACTCTGTTTGACAGGGCAGTGCTCCACAAAACTATGCTAATGCAGACTGGGCTACTCTGGCACAGTGTAGATTAATGGGGTACAGCTGAGAGCCCCAAATAAATCTTTGATGTGTATAGTCAGCTCAGTTTAAAAAGACAGATAGGTAAATATTTTGCACAATAAATAGCTGTTTGAGTCGTACAGTTTTTAAGCTAGCATTTGCATAAGCAACAGTAGCTTATCTGAGTTGCTTAAGTAATGGTTTGAATAATGTGATCCTTCTTTCATACCTCTCCGTATCAGCGTAATGTGCTGTGCATACAGAACCTGGGTTGCACAGGTAAGCTGCACGCCTTCATTGACAGGTGCAGAGTCAACTGGAAATTAGACATACAATCATCTCAAAACTGTTGATGAGCTAGGTTAAATCTACATGCATGTATAGTATAAATAGCATGTTATCACACATCATTCTTTTGGCATAAAAGTCCACCCCTGTGTGGGCTTCACATTAAGGTACCCAGAAGGGTGTCCCGAGCCTCGTAAGTGCTGCGCCAGCATGATCACTTGAAGGGGAAGACTTTCCATGCTATCAACTTCCATATTTCCTTTTTTTCTTTCTTTCTTTTTTTTTTTTTTTTGGCAGTGCTGGGGTTTGAACTCAGGGCCTCACACTTGCAAGACAGGTGCTCTACCACTTGAGCCACTCCACCAGCCCTTTTATGTGATGGGTTTTTCCAAGGTAGAGTCTCGTGAAGTATTTGCTGGGTGGGGCTCAAACTGTGATCCTCCCGATTTCTGCCTCCTGAAGAGTTAGGATTACGTGTGTGAGCCACCAGCGCCCGGCTCATAGTTGCCTTTTTACAGATCTGACTGTGAGAAAATGTGCATGCAATTGTGGTATGTTCTCCTTTCCAATCCCTCTCTTTAAAACAGTAAGAAGTTGATGTAAAATTCATATAACATAAAAATTAACCATTTTATTGAATTTTAAAATGTTCTTGTATATGTGTATCTGCTGCCTTGTATCCTTTCACCTACATTTGTTTGGTGATATTGGAGGTTTGAACTCAGGGCCTCATGCTGGTAGGCAGGCACTGTACCATTTGAGCCATGCCTCAGCCCTTCTTGCCTTTGGTTATTTTTTCAAATAAGGTCTCGCATTTTTGCCCAGGGAGGGTATGAATCACTGTGCTAGCTTATTTTTTGAGATGAGGTCTCCATAATGTTTTGCCTGTGCTAGCCTCAAACCATGATCTTCCCAATCTTCACCTCCTAAGTAGCTGAGATTACAGACATGCACCACCACATCCAGCCCTTGACGTACATTTTAAAGTGAACAGTTCAGTCGCCATCTAGCACATTCACAATGTTGAGCAGCCACCATTTCTATCCAGTTCTAACACATTTCTATTTCTCCAAACTAAAATCGCTTCCATTAAGCAGTTTGTCCTCATTCCTTCCTTGCCCCAACCCAAGGCAAACACCAGCCTATTTTGGTGTATATGAACCGTCTACTCTGCTTATTAATACATAGTCCATGTGTCATACAATGACATTTTGTTCAACAATAGACCGCATATACGAAGTCATCTCACGCATAAGATTACCTGGGAGCAGAAAGCTTTGTTGCCTAATGAGCCCTCCTGTTGTAGCCTGACACACCGCAGGTCAGTGGTAAGGACGGTGTAGACACCTGCCGTGCTGCCGCTCTTGTGCATGTGTAGCAATGCAGTATGCACAGTATGTAACACTGATAATGAGCTGCCATTGCTGGCTATGTATTTCCTGTACTTTTAATCATTATTTCAGAGTACGCGCAATCTTGGAGTAGGAAGCTTCCATGCAGTCTAGGGGTGTAGTAGGCTATACCATTGTTTTGCGTAAGTGACACTGTGATGTATGCAGAATAACAAACTTGCCTGATGATGCATTTCTCAGGATATATCCTCCTCATTAAGTGACACATGACAGGTATGGTGGCTCAAGCCTGTAATTCTAGTTACTCTGGAGGTTGAGATCAGGAGGATCATGATTCAAGGCCAGCCCAGGCAAAAAGTCCATGAGACCCCATCTCAACCAATTTTTAAAAAGCTGGGCATGGTGGCCCATGCCTGTCATTCCAGCTATGTGGGAAGCATGAATAGAAGGATTTCTATCCAGGCTGGCCCAGGCAAAAAGCATGAGATCCTATCTGAAAAATAACTAAAGCAAAAAGGACTGGAGGCATGGCTCAAGTGGTGGAGCTCCTGCCTAGCAAATGCAAGGCCCTGAGTTCAAACCCTACTGCTGCCACCCCTCCAAAAAAAGAAAGAAAAACAAATACAAAAAGCGTGCCATATAGGTACATGACCCTTACATCTCTGGCTGCTGTCATGTAGCATCATGTTTTGCTGATGAAAACTACTTGGAAAAATGTGAATCTCTGCTGAATATGTCCAGCTATTTTCCTTGCCATTAGTCTGTAAACACTAGACACCATAACACATTGGAGTAGGGTTTACAAATAACCCGGAGATGACGTAAAGCATAGAGGAAGATGAGATGTGCATGGGTTATACCCAACCACTACACCAGTGTATATAAGGGCCTTGAGCATCCGCAGGAGTGAGGTGGGTCCTGGCATGGGTGCTGTGTTAGTCAGTTTCCCATCCCTATGACAAAATACCTGACACAAACAAATTTAAAAAGGAAGGGTTTATTTTGGTTCATAGTTTCAGTGGTTTTAGTTCATGGTTGTTTGGCCCTGTCACTTTTGGGTCCATGGCAAGGCAGAGCATCACAGTGGGATTGTGGGAGAGGAAACTGCTCATCTCATGGTAGCCAGGAAGCAAAGAGAGGGAGAGAGGGAGGGGAGCAGGGTCTAAATATCCCCTTCAAGGGCAGCCCTCTCGTGACACAGTTTCCCTCCACTAGGCCCTACCTCCTGAAGTTTCTACTGCCTCCCTATAGTGCCACCAGCTAGGGGCCATTTAACACATGGGCCTTTGAGGAGCTGTAACAGATACTAGGGGCCAGTTCCACTTCATTTGTTCTTATGTCTGAGTAATATTCCATTGTGTAGCTTGTTTATTCATTCAGCACTTGAGGGACTTTTGCTGCTCCCCTCTCTTAGCTACTAGGAATAGCGTTACTGTGAACATGCTGTGTACTTGTACCATTTGAGAGCCTGTTTGCAATCCTTTTGGGTGTCTGCCTCACTGTGGCTTGCTGGTTCCCATGGGTATTGTACGTTGGACTTCTTGAGGACCTGCCAAATGACTTTCCACGGTGGCAGAAGCATTTTACACTCCCCCTAGCCATGTAAGAGGGCTTCCATTATGACTGGCACCTTGCCACCCTTGCCAAGGATTGCTATTATGTTTTAACCAGTTTGTGGGGCTGAGGTGGAGCCTTGCTGTGATTTCATTTGCATTTCCCTAAGGATTAACAATGGGTTAATTTTTGTATATGACTTAAGATAAGATCGTCAGGCTAGTTTGGGAGGTATTGGTATGCTGACTAATTATTGAGTCTTGTTTCCTATGAACATGGAATTTTGTTACATTTACTTGAGTTGTCCTTTTCTTATCAGTGTTTTGTAGTTTTGTGTACTTCTTTACTCTTCCTTGGTTAAATTCATTCCTAATACTTTGTTTTTTTCAGTACTGGGGATTGAACTCAGGACCTCACACATGCTGGGCACTCTAGCACTTGAGCTATGACCCCAACCTTGGTTTTAGTATTTTTATTGCTATTATAAATGGCACTATGTTCTTTTTTTTTTTTACAGTTTTTTTATTCATAAATGGCACTATGTTCTTAGTTCCTTTTTTGATTGTTGCTAATGTCTAAAATGCAACTGATTTTTATATATTGATATTGTATCCTGCAACTTTGCAAATGAACATGCTGGAGGTGTGGCTGAAGTGTACAGCCCCTGCCTAGTAAGTGCAAAGTTCTGAGTTCAAATCCCAGTACACCAAAAACAGCCAACACCATTTCATGATGAAAACACTCAATAAACTAGGAAGAAAAGGGAATGCCATCAACCTGCAAAACAGCATCTATGAAAACTCTGTAGTTAACCTCATACCACAATGGGAAGTCCTGAAAGCTTTTCACCTAGCATCAGCCGGCGATGAGGAGATGCGTTCCCACCACCTGTACTCAATGTTGCAGTGCAGGTTCTACTCGGCACAGTTAGCCAAGGGGCAAAACAGAGCATCATCCAGACTGGAAAGAAGAACTCCAACTGTCTGTGAAATCAAATGACACGATGTCACATACAGAAAGCCCCAAAGCTCTCTATGGTAGCCATTTGCTCTCCATTTATTTCTGGTTTTGCTTTTCCAATAGTTAATAATTACTGAGTGCTTGCTGTGTGCCAACCTAAACCTGTTTTATCTTCGCCTTTCCTATTCATTAAATCTTCTTTCCCTTGACTTCTAACAATACAAGATATGCAACATAGTCATGATGCTTGGGGAAAGAAGCAATTAGCAAACTCTTGCACATGGTGTAATTCTTGTGAGTTACATCCATAATTTGAAAGGCATATGCTTGAGCCCAAAGTCTTAATATTTATAATGGTAGCCATACTTACATAAAATGCTGTGTGTGTGTGTTTTAGCCACTTTCAGCTGATGAAATCCCCCCGACCCCCGCCAGTCTACCAGGAACGTAACTTCAGCCCATCCCTCAGCGTTATTGTGTATGGGGAAAGTGCTGGGTGCACAGTGTGGAGCCAGGGTTTGAAGCTATCAGAGGTGGCACTCAAACCATGCAACTCGGGAACACATGGTCACCTCCAACAGATGTAGGCTCAAGCCCCAGCTCCACGTGTCACCAGGTCACATGCAAGACCACCCATCTTACCACTCTCATTCCGCTCAGAAAAATGATCAGAATCCATTGCATTTGAAGCTGCATGGTTTTTGTCATTCTTCAGAGTGATTTGGAGGTCTCAGCCTAGATGAGCCTAGAGGAGTAAGGCCAAGTTCACTCTCCCCATGGTGCGACTTCCCCAAGTCAGGACGCAGCTGCTTTATTATATTATTATTGTTGTTATTTTACCAAGTGTGTCCCTTTGCTGTCCTCCCTCCCATTTAGAGAGATGGGATCACTTCACGACAACCAGGAAGCCAGGAACAACCAGAGCTCCAGCGCACCCTGCAGGTAACTTGACTGTCCTGAGGAGGGCAGTGAGGAAGAAGCCTGTGGAGCTCCCTCTGGGAGCTCTATCTAGTTTTAAGCTCCATGTATGCAAAGCCAACCAAAGCTTCCATTGAACACGGAACTGAACTCAGTACAGTACATGCCTAGCTGGTCACTGTGCCTGGGAAAATTCTAAGAGAAAATGCATTTGGCCTTGTCCTGCTCTACCATTTCATGTTCTAAACTGAGGGACGATGCAGTGGGTTGGGTTTTGGAAGCCCATAAACACTTTCTTTAGGCACAGGGAACATTTTGGAAAGGCATTTATATTATAGTAACATCTTTCAGCAAAGAATTTGGAACTCAGTGCTTCTTTATGGCTCTTTCCTCTAATTGCTTGAGCTTTTCTCCACATGGGCCATTGGCCATTTGGACATCTTCACCTAGGTAAAGAAAAACTTGCCCTTATTGTTGGGGACTCAGCCATTGCTCCCATCAGTGACTCATTACCAGTATACAGGAGCATGGTAATAATGCATTCCATGTAGTAGACAGCTACCTTCTGTCCAAAGTGACAGTGATGACCCAAGAGTGTCACTGCAGTGTTTTGATTCCTCAGGATGCCTCCACATTTCTCTACCCAAAGGGGTGCTTTGTGGCCATGTGGCCCCCTGTGATTGACTCTGTGCGTCTGGTTTTGAATCTCGGGTCAATACCTGTAATCAGTCAACATACTGTGAAGTGCTCTGGCTGCTGGCTTAAGCAAAGCATACTTAGGAATATAAACTGAAAGCTGGTCACACACTGCAGACTCAGAAAGCTGTGACTTGCTTCCATCTGTCGGCATTTTCACTATCAGCGTCTGTGCAGAGTCAAATTCCAAATTAAGTGCTTTGCCTTAACTCATTATTTGTACTGATCAATTGAATCCAGGGGTGGTGTTTAGATTTTTTTTTTTTGTGCCCAGTTGTTAATCAGTTGCTGTTTCTTTTATGTTTTGGGTCCCACCGAAGTTAACGATTTTGACTTGACTGATGCTTTGGGTGATCGCGATGATGGCCGCAAGAAGCCAAGTGCAGGAGGAAGAGGTAAATCCTGGCTGCTTGAAACCCTGCTTGGGTTCTGTCTTTTTAACTATAACAGCCCCATGAGCCACTCATGGTTTGGTGGGCCCAGGTCACTTCAGGCCGCAGGAGAACTCCAAAATGAAGGTGCTCAAACATTTTGGTCTCAAGACTCCCCAAATTATTGAGAATCTCAAGAGCTTTTGTTTAAGTGGGCCATATCTATCAATATTTATCACCTAAGAACTTAAAACTGAAAAACTTTATTAAACAATCTATGTAAACAGCACTAAAGCTATGGCTTTAGTTTACACATTAATGTAAATTGACTTTTGGTTTTTATTACTGTTGCATTTTGAGAGCTTTTTAAACATTCTAAACACTAGTCCTTACGTAGGTAATTTGCAAATATTTTCTCCCGTCCTGTAATTGATGTTTTTGTTCTCTTAACAAGGTCTTTTGCAGAGTAGACAGTCTTAATTTTGATGATGTGCAGTTTATCTATTTTTCCTTTTATGGGTCCTGTCATGTCTGGGAAGAAGGAAGTCTCTGGGTAATCCTCAGGCCATAGATCCCTTTTTTCTTTCCTCAAAGTTCTCTTTTTGGCCTATGAACATCTAATTGCTCCAGCACCATTTGCTAAGAAGACTCAGTTGAATTGCTTTTGAACTTTAAGGAATCTATTACAATATACCTTTTTGTTACATCTGGTGTTCTTATATTTCGTTGAGGATTTTTGCATCTATATTCATAACGTACACAGTTCTGTAGATTTTTTAGGATACCTTTGTCTGGTTTTCACATCAGAGTAGTACTGGTCTCAGTACTGATTTTGAAAGTTTTGTCTTTGATTTTCTGAAACACTTTTTGAAGGATTGGTCTTTATCCTTTAAAATTTTTGTAGAATTCACCAATGAAGCCATATGGTCCTGGGTTTTTCTTTGTGGGGAATTTTTTGATTATTAGTACTGTCTATTTGCTTGCTATAAGTCTTTTTCAGATTTTTAAATTTAATTTCTTCTTGAGTTAGTTTCAGTCATTTGTATCTTTTAAGGAGTTTGTCCATTTCATTTAGGCTATCCAATTTGTTGGCACACTTTTGTTACTAGCATTTCCTTTAAATCCTTTTTTATTTTTATTAGGTCAGTAGTGATGTCTTCTCTTTCATTTCTAACTTTAGTAACAAGTCATCTTTCTTTTTTATTTTTCAGTCCAATTAAATGTTTGCCAATTTTCTTGATCTTTTAGCAAACCATCTTTTGTTTCATAGACTTTCTTTGTTCTTTTTCTGTTCTTCATCTCATTTATTTCGACTCTCATATTTATTATTTTCTTTCTTCTGCTTATTGTGTTTGCTCTCCTCTTTCCATTTTCCAAGGTGAGAGGTTAGGCTAGTCACTACAAATCTTTCTTCCTTTTTAATGTAGGCATTTACAGCAACGAACTTCCTTTTACACATGACTGTGGCAATATCCCGTAAGTTTGGGTGTGATGGATTTTTGCTTTTATTTTTGTCAAAATATTTCTTAATTTACCTTTTGATTTCTTCTTTAGCTTGCTATGATTATTATTATTATTAATATTATTATTATTATATTTGCAGTGCTGGGGATGGAACCCAGGTCTTTGTACATGCTAGGAAAGTGCCACAACGCTCAGCTATAATCCCAGCCATTCCACTTACTTGTGGATTTCGCCTTTTTCTATCAATGATTTTTAATTTGATCAGAAGGTATGCTTCACTGATTTAATCCTTTGACAAATGTCAAGGCTTGTTTTATGACATAGCTGAGGGTCTACCCAAGAGAATGTTTTATGTGCATTTGAGGAGAATACAGGTTCTGCTGTTGTTAGATGGTGTTTTCCATATCACTTAAAACTCAATGGCTGATTTTGTCGGTCAGGTCTATATCCTTGAGGATTTTTGATCTAGTAATCCAGTTAATTGCTGAGAATTGGGTTATGAATTCCCCACTATAATTGTGAATTTATTTATTTCCCATCTTAGCTCTATCACTTTTTGCTTCAATATTTTGAGTCTCTTGGTTTTTGGTGCATCCAGATTTAGGATCATTGTGCTTCCTGGTTGATTGATCTGCTTATTGTTGTGTTGTGTCTTTTTTCTCTAGTAATGTCTTGTCTGTGACGTCTTTCTCTAACATTAATATATTTATGTTATTTTTTGATTAATGCTCAAGTGTATATGAAGACCCCCAAACCCCAAAGTGATTGCTATTAAGGTTAAGTGAACTTTTCCTATTCCTCGAATCCCACTGAGCACTCTTACCCTATGAATGGAACATTTACCCACTTTCAATTCGTAATGTTCTTATACAGTCTGTTTGGAAAATGTTAGGGTCCTGAGCTGTGTTGAGCTCCCAATGATGAGACCTTTCCTCATGCAGTAGTTCAAGGTTACCTTTATTAATATCACCAGTAAACTGAAAGGCAAAGTCTTTACATGTTGGGTAGCTATCATGGTTATGGATTCACATTTTTCAATGTTGTAATTTTTTTTTCAATTAAAAAAATACATTCTTTTTTTTATTTGTTTATTCACATGTGCATACATTGTTTAGGCCATATCTCCCCACTACCCCCTGTCCCCTCCCTCTCCCCCCCACCCCCCTCGCTTCCAGGCAGAATCTGTTCTGTCCTTATCTCTGATTTTGTTGAAGAGAAGACTAAGCATAATAAGAAAGACAAAGCGTTTTTGCTAGTTGAGATAAAGATATCTATACAGAGAGATTCCTAGCATTGCTTCCATGCACAAGTGTGTTACAACCTGAATTGATTCATCTCTACCTGACCTTTTCACTAGTTCCTGGTCCCCTTCTCATGCTTTAAGGTTTCTGTATTAGTTCTTCTGCAGTAGGGACATCAAATACTTTCATGTTTTGGGTTTCTTACCTATCCCCATACCTCCTGAGTGTGCTCTCCCCTTATCATGTGATCCAAGTCCAACCACATTGCTGCATTTGCCCTAGATCTAAAGTCCGCATATGAAGGAGAACACACAATTTTTGGTGTTCTGAGCCTGGCTAACCTCGCTCAGAATGATGTTCTCCAATTCCATCCATTTACTTGAGAATGATAAGATTTCATTTTTCTTCATGGCTGAGTAAAATTCCATTGCATATAAATACCACATTTTCTTAATCCATTTGTCAGTAGTGGGGCATCTTGGCTGTTTCTATAACTTGGCTATTGTGAATAGCGCTGCAATAAACATGGATATGCAGGTAGGTGCCTTTGGAGTAACCTGTGTTGCATTCCTTTGGGTATATCCCCAGGAGTGGGATTGCTGGATCATATGGCAGATCTAGGTTTAGATTTTTAAGAAGACTCCATATTTTCTTCCAGAGTGGTTGCACTAGCTTGCATTCCCACCAGCAGTGTACGAGGGTTCCTTTTTCCCCCACATCCTCGCCAACATCTGTTGTTAGTGGTGTTTAATGATGACTATTCTAACAGGGGTGAGGTGGAATCTTACTGTGGTTTTGATTTGCATTTCCTTTATGGTCAGAGATGGTGAGCAGTTTTTCATGTGTTTTTTGGCCATTTGAATTTCTTCTTTTGAGGAAGTTCTGTTTAGTTCACTTGCCCATTTCTTTATTGGTTCATTAATTTTGGGAGAATTTAGTTTTTTAAGTTCCCTATATATTCTGGTTATCAGTCTTTTGTCTGATGTATAGCAGGCAAATATTTTCTCCCACTCTGTGGGTGGTCTCTTCAGTTTAGAGACCATTTCTTTTGTTGTGCAGAAGCTTTTTAGTTTTATGAAGTCCCATTTGTCTATACTTTCTCTTAGCTGCTGGGCTACTGGGGTTCTATTGAGGAAGTCCTTGCCTATCCCTATTATTTCCAGAGTATTTCCTGCTCTCAAAGTTGTAAATTTTTTGAGGCTCAGATTTTCTTATTGTCTTACATACTGTCAGTTGGTTTCCTTGAAGTGACAAACTCTTTTTATCTTCACAAAATTTTGGCAAATATTCAAATCTGAAAAACCATAGATTGTCCCTAATTCTTTCAAGTAAACTTGGCTTTCCTTGAGGAAAAAATTGTGACCAATTCAACTCAAAACTGAAATAAGGGTTTGTAAATGTGGTCTGTGTTAGAGTACTTGCCTAGCATATGCTAGGCCCTGGGGTGCATCACTAGCCCCAAAATAGAAGCAAAACTGAAACAGGCATATACGTGCTTTTCTAGAGTCACCTGTTATACATGGTGTGCAACAGAAGTGCTTTAACCGCCCTCCCATTTCATCACACAGAATGTTAAAAAAAGATGTGTGCTCAAGGTTGAGCTTGGAAAAATATTTTTCTGCTCCTTGATATTTCTTTTGAATGGTTTCATAAGCCATTACCATACATCGAGTGGGCTAAGATCACTGCCCTTCCACTCTGTTATTTCCCTGGGGTCCGGAGCATGGGGCCTGTTGAGCCCCATACTCTGCCCAGTGCCTCCCACAGAGCTGAACTCCAGGTCAGTTGGGGCTGAGGTGTCCTCTGAAGTCTGAGGTTAGGTTAGCTTCCTGTTGCTGCTGGGACGAATGACCACACAACTTGGCTCTTAAACAGCACAGATTTCTCTTATAACCATTGAAGTCAGAATTCCAAAATGCACGCTGGGCTACAATTAAGGTGCTGGCAAGACTGCGTTCTTTTTGGAGGCCTTTGGGGAGCATTTATTTCCTTCCCTTTTCCTGTGTAGAGCGCCACCTGCAGTTCTTGGCTTATGGCTACTTCTGTTTTCTAAACCAGCAGAGTAGCATCCTCCAAGCTCTCTCTGATTCTCACCCCTGCTTTCCTATCAAGTGTTCCTCAGACTCCCCGCCCACCTCTTTCCCTTTCAAGGACCTTGGAATTGCATTGCCCACCCCCAGATCATTTAGGGTAATCTCCCCATCTCAAGGCCCTTGGGTTAATCGCATCTGGAAGCCCTTTTCTTGTGTAAGATGACGATGACGGAGCTATAGATTCACGATGATTGGCAGAATTCATTTCTCGGAAGCCATGGAATTC